ATGATGTTAACCGAGAAGACCAAGCCGCCAGCTGATCGATCCGCACGTCTTTCGCCTTTGAGTTTTAATTTATGTAATATGCTTTTGGGTTTGTACGTAATATTCTCAACTGATCACCCTAACTCTAGCCTGCGTGGCCTTGTTCGTAGACTTTGTGTGATCTTTTTCGGTTGTTAAATAATCAAATAACCGTGGTGGTTGTCGTTTATGTTTATTGATTAGAAACTATTGAATATATTTGTCTTCGCATTCTTTTATTTTTGCATGCCATTTCTTTAGTATTTTTGACATTAACTGAACCCGGTCCAAAGAGATTTGGATTGAATATCAAACCTACAAGCATTATAGCTAAAGAGAGATCTAGCTGAGGTCGACATTGTAAGAGGAGTTGGATCCGGCTGATTCGACCTCCGCTCCATACCCTCGACTGATTCAACCGATACCGGTGCCTGTAAAGCTACATCTTGTGTCGAGATCTCAAAAAATCATTGTAAGATGCAACAATAATCCTTTTGAAATTCTCACCATATTCTATCTGGGGGAGTTTTTTCGCTGCAAATAGCCACTGTCTGGGATCGGAATTAGTCTCCAACCTGAAAAGAATTCTCACCGTCAAAAGCTCTGTTGATTTCCCGATGATGCCCAAGACCTTTCTAAAGCCCACAGAATTTGTCTCATGGTGGGCCTGGCCCAAGTTTAAATTGATGCCACTAAAGATGAAGGCCACGCTAATGTTGAGAATGTGTGTCTGGCCCATTTGGCCATTAGTGGTTTTTGGCTCATTCGATATTGAATGTGGCCCATATATGTGCTTCAACACTCGGATGTGCTTCAACATTCCGATCTACTTTTGAGTCTACAAGCTTCTTTTATGCGTGCGAGAAGTACAAAGTTTTCTAGGTTCTCAAACCTTGTAATTTCCTCCCTTTGGGAGAGGCCTCACCCATACTCTTTTATATCTGGGAAGAGAATCGTGCCACCATTTCTTCTCTCATGGAGAGTAAGATCCTTCTCGAAACCAAAACCGAGTAATTGTCTATCCAACTTGTATTTTTGTGTAGCGATCTCCATGGTGCTAGAAGATGCAACCGATTTCGTCTTGACGAATATCGGAGGAATAGGTAACCCTTTAAAATCGCATGTCAAAGTGACTAAACTTATGTTTTCCGGCCTAGCCGTGAATTCTATACCGACGCATCAAGATTATTTCTTTGATTCGCAGTCGTATAACTATGTTGTTGTTTATGCTTTAGCTTATAATGTTTTCATGTATTGTACTACGATTCCATGTAATTTTAAAGTTTAATGAATGAAAAAGACGTTGCACAAAAAAAAAAATCTAGCTTTTTTTGGCTAAAAGATTAAGTTTCATTTAGCTAGGTATACGAACAA